AAATGAAACTTACTAGGAGAAGGTGGAGGTGCTAGAAAATAAAAACAAACAACATGAAACACGCATTAGACAGGTATGTGCAAATTAATTGTAGAATTTATGTTGTTAAATTTATGATATAACTTACTAGGAAGACGTGGTGGAGCTGGAGGTGCTACAAAGTAAAACATAGAGAAAGTAAAATACAATTTCAGTTTCCATTAATATTTCTGATTTTTTTGCAGTGGGAATATAACTGTGCAACAAAGACTAAAATTGCATTCTAATATGCAGCTCTTGGCTTATTCTGCAACAGAGAACAATTTCTTCACTATATACTACTTACGTGTAGGAGAAGAAGAGCCACCTCCCATTGCTAAAACTGAAGAAGTAAAGATAAAGTTAATATCAATCAGTAACACACAAATATTTCAATGATCAGGTGCCCACACCCGAAAAAAGAAAAAGTTTATAAAATAATTATAAAGTTAAACTAAATGAGTTTAAAGCTTAAACGTAAAACCACAGTCGTTGCACAAATGTTGCCTTCTACAATAAATTCATTAAGAGAAGGAGGGAAAAATGCAACATTTTAGAGAGTAAGACTTAAAGTGTAGTGGCAATGATTTTACAGCATATGGTCTGCAGACTGAACTTTCCACTCACTAGTGTGGGATTTCCAAACTCCTGAGCAATTAGAAAAGTAAGAAAACATAATAAAAATGAACTGGTATGAATCACTAAGGCTCATTTTTAACCTGATAACATACATGGTAAAGAATTCTTACCTGTATTGTGATGCAGCTGCAGAGGCAAAGATCAAGTGAAACTGTTGAATGGAACAAAGTCGGTCTTATATAGACTGATCAGATCTTATACTTTCACTTTCTTAATGACAAACCATGACGGTTATAAATAGGTACTTCCCAGAGTCACTTCTGGGAAGTATCTTATTTGATGTTTTTCTTTCCTGGTACTTTTTGATGCAAACCTCATCTGACCTTTCTCTTACTTAACTTTTGCAATAATTAGAAAAGATAAAACTGAAATATGTATTTAGCTTTTAAAAAGTGAAACTGAGTGATGAGACAAAATGATGAGATGTGAATCACAAGATTTTCCTCTTTAATAATAA